ACAGCATTTGATATGTCCAAAGCAATGTGACCCCATAATTCTTTATATAAGCTTGGGCAGATCTGAGTTCAAACATCAGCAGCTCTAAGTAAGAACACAGCATGTGTAGAAGGCAGAATTCTAAGATGGTCAGCCAAGATTCTCAGACTCTGGCTTTTAAGACACTAATCTAAGTATGCTATGATCAGTTGACCTTAACAAAGGGAGATTATCCAGGTGGCATTACTGTGATGTGAGTCGTTTAAAAGCAACATTTCCTCTTGCTAGAACCACAAGAGTCAGACTGAAAGCATGAGGATTCAATGCACCATTGCTGGCTGAAAAATGGAAAGAACTTTGTAACAAGGAATTTGAGTAGTAGCCTCTGAAGTTAAGAATTGTCCCCAGCTAGCAGCTGGCAACAAACAGGGATTACAGTCCTATAACCTGAATGCTACCAACAACCTAAATGAGCTGGAAGCATATTCTTTCCCAGAACCTTCAGTTAAGGGGCACAGACTGACGAACACTCAACATCAGTCTGTGAGATTGTAAGCAGAGAACCAACCAAGCCAGCTTGAACTTCTGACCTATAGGCTTGTAGTTAATAAATGGAAACTGTTTTAAGCTGCTAAGTTTGTGGTAATTCGTTAAGCAGCAACAGAAAAACCAACAAAGTACACAGAGCTTTCAGAAGTACAGTGCCACAGCTCAAAATGGCCAGACCTTCTTCAGAGTTAGCTCTACCTCCACATCCCCCCCAGACCCCAGTCTTCAGAATGAAGACTTCTGTTGCTCTCTTTTCACTGAAAAAGAAAAAAGTATAAAGAGGACTGATGAGGCAAAGATTTTTCCTTACTTCAAAAGCCCACCCATGAAGGAATCGACATTTCCTCTTCTACCAAACTTGATTCCATATGCACACCAAATGTAGAGAGTATTAGTTGGCAGGGATGATCCACCAAACAACCCGAGTATTTCTGCATATTCTTGCTGGGTAGGCCTTTACCAGAGCCTTTACTTAAAGCTGTGTTTGCAGAAAGCAATCTTGAGGGGTAAAATACAGTGACGCATCTCTTAATTATTGGGACATGTTCTGAGAAATGTATTCGTAGACGGTATGTTTGCAAACATCATAGATATGTATGGGGCTGCTCCCTGCATAAAAGACCATTGTATTACAATAGCTAGTACATCCCTAAGCCATTTTGGGACCATGTTGCACATGTGGTGTGCCATTGACTAAAACCCCATTATGCATCACATGGCTGCATGACCCTATCTGGTGCAAAGAGCAGATGTGTTATGAAAGAGATTATGTACTCCAAGCATGCACATTCATTGGGTATGATGCAGGCCCACTGTGTACATGGCATCTACTTGAGGAGTCCCCCCACATCACTGCTGTGTTATGCTGGGGGCAAGAGAGAGCACTATGATCATGAAGCTCATGCTGCTTTCTGTGCTCTGAATAATAAAGTTCTTTCTGAACAGAACACTTGTGTTTTCTCCTAGCATCCACAAAATAGTAATACTCTAACTTATTAGCTTGCAAACAGGGTAAAATTCCAAACTGGCATTTTTAAATAAGGAGGTCTAATGTACTTTACATTATAAATTTCAAAGAAAACAAAATCTCTGTTTTGAATTTTCTTGCGCAGAAAAAAATCTACATCATTGGGCTATTGAGACTAGAATGAGATTAGAATATGGCACTTAGGATACAAGAAATATCCATTAACTTTAGTTGAACCCCTACCCTCTGCAGCACCTCCACAAACACATATAAAGAACCAGATGGAGAGCAATATCTTCTCTGAGTAGCATTCTATTCAGAAAACAAGGGACAAAGAGTCTAACACATCAATTTCCAACAATGAGTTTCCATCCATATTATTTCACATAACATCTACACAGATACTGAGGTGCAAAGAAGATAGTTTTGCAAAAAGAAAGACATCAGTTCTCCACAGTTCTGGAAAACAGCCACATGACAGAAGTCCGGGAATTGTGGACTGAAGAAGTATTGCTGAAATGTGGCTGTGATGTTATTCTAGCAGCTTAACTATGTCCTGAAGGCCCACTCTTTGTCCAGGTAAGGCATGAAGTTCTCAAGATGACTGGGCCTCCTAAGGAACATTAATGCCACTGGAGAAATGGCTGGAAACCACATGATACAGAGATAACTTTTATTTAGATATTCTGAAATTTTTCTAAATGGGAAATTGATAAAATCCTTCAAATAAGAGGCTATCCTGTCCTGGATGAATTTGGACTTGGTCCCTTTGGCATCCTTGGCAGTTTCTGCTTTGCTTGTAGGCACTGAGAACTTATATTGTGACAGTATCACTTGAGGGTCTTGCTAAGGTTGGAGAAGCCAATGCCAACACAAGTCATCAGCACTTTATCCCCACCCTTGAGTTCTTCACCACATGGCTTGGTTTCAATTTTAAACATAATCTGGAAAAAGCTCTTCAAATGCCGCAAAAATTCTATCCTAAAAAACAAAAAAAGGGGGGGGGAATGAAAATGGAATTCCATATTTATTTTATATTTTATTTTATATATTTCTTACAACATTTTTCATTTTTGCACAATGTATGCATTTTCATCTTGGTTATATTCCCTATACAATTGCACCCCCCTTATTTTGACGCCAATCCCTCCTCTCCCTGCCCGCCCCCCTGTAGTGTGTCTCTGGTTTATAGTTGCTTGTTGATTTTGATTTTTTCTTTATTACAGTTATTCTTTTTCATGGTCCCTTATTTAGGTTTTCTAAATTCCTGCTATGAGTGAGACCATCCAGTATTTTTCTTTTTCTTTCTGGCTTATTTCGCTGAGCATGATCCCTTCCAGCTCCATCCATGTTGATGCAAATTGCATGAGTTTATCTTTTTTGATTTCTGAGTAATATGGAATTCCATATTAAAAAAATTCTCCTTTCCCAACCTAGAACCCAAGCTTTTAATATCCCAAATCAAGAGGAATGACTAAAATTAAGAACTCATCAATGGTGATTAAATAGTATTTATAACCTGCCAGCTTTTTAAAAGGATTTAAACAACTTGCAATTTGCAGAGATATATACATGATAAATTAAATACATTTTTTTAAAAGGTGTGAAGTTAGTACACAAGAGATAAAGAGATTAAGTCATTTAATCCTACACACTTGTTTAGAGTAGACATATGTGACATTAGCATTGAATAGCTCATGCAAGAAACAATATATATACACCCTCATTATTGACAGCATCATGAGTTAAAACCAAGAATTTATTGATGTTGATGCTCAATTTGATGACATTTGAGCACCTGCTATGATGATACTACAGTCAACTAAAAATCCCTTCTCTCCTGAAGTTTTCAATTTAGTGAAAAAGACAATTTAAGTAACTGAACGATACTATAGAGATTTAAATAAAGTAAAAAGTCAGATGGGGGAAATGTGAATATAATAGTATTTGTATGCATATGAGAGAGGCAATATTAAAGATGGCTAAGGAGGAGCTCATAATAAAAACAGCAAGGAGTATCATATGGTTGTTTGTCATCCTCCTTAAGAAAGAGCAATTCTATGGAAGGACCACAGTAAAGGTATGCAGGCTTCTATTGATCTGGCTAAGCAGATTCTGCATTGCCCCAGCCATTGTTAACCTTGAGACTCATCTGCAGAATTCATTAAAACACATATTCCTAAAAGTTCTGATCAACTGACAACTGGTGGGAGGTATTTCCATGCAGTGCATATAAGAATTACAAGTCACATAGGATATTCCTTCCCTCACCCTACAATGCTCAGGGGCCAGAAATCTATTGCTAAGAAGCAACCTTGGCAATTCTTATCAGGCAAGTTTGTGCAATACTGGTTTAATTAATAACAGATGGTCTGCGTACATGCTATGAAGAGTTCAATAACTGTGTATTGTGCTACCTTCGAATCAAGCCATCCAAACTCCTTAACTCCAGCCAGATGGTTTTTAACCCCGAATACACATGGAATCATAGAGGAGCTTTCAAAATGCTGATGGCAAGCTTTCAAAATGCTGATGCTGTTCCAATCAGTGGAACAGAAGTGAGAGTCAAGAAATAAACCGCATGGTCAGGGTCAATTGATTTTCAAAAAGAGTGCCAAGATAATTCAATGGGGAAAGAACATTCTTTTCAACAATTTGTGTTAGAACAACTCCACATGCATATCTAGACACAAAAGAATGAAGCTGGGCCTATTCCTCATATTGTACAAAAAAAAAGGATCAAACACCTTCATGTAAGAGGAGCTTACATGAAACTCATAGAAGAAAATACAGGGATGACACCACATGATCTTGGGCTAGGCAATGGTTTCTTTTTTTTTTTTTTCATTAATTTAAATATTTTATTTTATATAATTCCTATTTTTTAAAATATTTATTTATTTATTTATTTGTTTATACAAGCACTGGGTACAGTCAGAAGCACGGGAGGGCGAGGAATTCACCAGAGCCAGAGCGGGGAGCAGAGCAGGCAGAAGGACTGAAGTACACTGCTGAGGGGAGCAGTGGGCGGCAGGAGAGGTCTGCACCATGTGGGACCCTCCTCCGGTGGCCGGGGAGCAGCCGGGGATTGAACCGGCGCTGCAGAGGCTGCGGGCAGCTTCGCAACCCAGCGCTCAACTGCTGCGCCACCGGGGAGGCCCTATTATATATACTTCTTACATCTTTTTTCATCTTTGCACAATGTATGCATTTTCATTTTGGTTATATTCCCCATACGATTGCACCCCCCTCCCCCTTATTTTGACTCTAGTCCTTCCTTTCCCCGCCCCCCCCCACCACCCCAGTTTGTCTCTGGTTTATAGTTGCTTGTTGATTTTGATTTTTACTTTGTTTTGATTAGTCTTTTTCCTGGTCTCTTATTTTGGTTTTCTAAATTCCTGCTATGAGTGAGACTAGGCAATGGTTTCTTAATTATAACACCAAAAGTCCAAAAGTAGCATGACGAATAACTAAATAAAATTGGACATCAAAATTAAAATCGCTTGTGCTCACTTGGGAAGCACATATACTAAAACGGGAATGATACAGAGAAGATTAGGATGGCCCTGCACAAGGATGACACGCGAATTCATGAAGCATTGCGTATTTTAAAATAAAACCTCAGTGAAAAAAAATTAATCTCTTATGCATCAAAGATGCTGTCAAGAAAATGAAAAGACAACAGATAGGAGAAAATATTTGCAAAGCATATTTCCAAGAAGGATCTGGTGTCTAGTTCTTACAATTCAATAATAAAAAGAAAAACCTCAATTTTAAAATGGACCAAAGACCTGAAAAGCCATTTCCCCAAATACATTATACATATGTAGCCAATAAGCACATGAAAAGATGCCCAACATCTTTTTCATTAGGGAAATGAAATCAAAACCACTCCACACCCAAGAGAATGACTACAATCAAAAAGACAAATAATAAAGCGTGGGCAAGAATGTCAGAAATTGGAATCTCATACATTGCTGGGGGGAATGTAAAATGATGCTGCTTCTGTAGAACAGTCTGGCAACTCCTCAAAATAGTAAATAAAAATTTTGAGGAGTTACCATATGAGCTAACAATTACACTCCAAGGCATGAGAGAAATAAAAACATATACCCACACAAAAACTTGTAAACAAATGCTGATTCATAACAGTTTCATTCATAACAGTCAAAAAGTGAAAACAACCCAAATGTCCACTAACAGGTGAATGGATAAACAAAATGTGGTAAATATCTGTACTACGGAATGTTATTTGGGTAAAAAAAGGAAGTGCTGACACACATTACAATATGGATGAACCCTGAAAACATCATGCTAAGAAGCCAGTCACAAACGACCACATACTGTGTAAGTCCATTTATAGGAAACGTCCTGAGAGACCAATCTAAAGAGGCAGAAAGTAGATTAGTGGTTGCCTGGAGCTGGGTGGTGGGGGTAGGGAGTAAGGGGACAATAGGGAACAACCATGAATGGGCAAAGGGTTCTTTCCGGGGTGGTAAACATGTTCTAAAATTAGGCTGTGGTTATGGTTCTACAACTCTGAATATACTAAATATTGCTGAATGAATGGTACATTTTAAGTGGGTAAACCGTGGTACGTGGTATGTGAAATATCTCGATGAAACTGTTCTAAACAAATAAATTTTAATATATATGTAGGTGTGCATGTGTGTACGTGTGTGCATTTGTGAGGTTTTAAAAGAGGACTGATCCTGGCTCCCACCCTCACACAGTATATATCAAACTTAGTATAGAGCCTGCTGCAATGAATTTCTACTCTCTTCTATCCTCCCATCCTAGCTCATGTAGTTAAAGGCAGGAAAACGCAAAAGGGGGGTCTGAACAACTTCCTTAACCTGGTCTGACTGAAATGACTGGCATGTCAGGGGTTTAAGAGAGGAAACACTCCTTAACCAGAAAAGTAATTCTGGTGAGAGCTACATACTGGAAGAATAAACTGCCCCACTTCTCTACTCTCCTTTCCACCTAGGATGGATACTACTTTCTGCTCATTTTTAAAATAACATCCTATTTGCCCACTTTCCTATAGTCTTCCTGAGTGAATAATCCCTCTGAATGTCTGTAGCATTTTTGGCCCTACTTGTGGTATCTAAGTAAATGCTTATGTTTTGTTATCTCCACAACTGCCCCTTTCCTCTTGGTAAATGATATACGCATGCCATTATCTATAATACCTGACAGGAACTCTATATAAGACACTACAATAGGCACTGAATAGAACGTTGAAATTAGGGTTAGTTTTCAGAAATGACTTCAACATTCTTAGTAATTAAGGGGAATCAGTTCTTCCTCTGCTGGCTTTCCTGTCTGACTAACCAATTGGAATTTTCAGTTTTTTGCTCTCAGTCCCAATCTCACAACCTTCCCATTTTGTCCTAGGGAAAAGAGAAAACAAACACATCAAGCCCATAGATAAACAGTCCACATCTGTGGGCAAAGCTTCCAGCTGGCACCAGTGCAGAAAAATCCAGCCATCTCACCCACTCGTCTGCATTTTGAGAAGAAAACAGCTTGTTCTCTCGCTGCTCTTCAGCTATAATACAGGTCTGAGGCACGCTCTGCCCCCAGAGTTTCCCCAGCCTGCTTCACTGAATCGTTCACTGTGCTGGGAAAACGAGACACCCTCCCAGCTGGCAGAATTCCTACAGGGCCTCAGTTTGCTTCTGATCTCTTGGCAAAGGGAGAAACACAGGCCTGAGTGTACGGGTCTACATATTTGCAGCCTTTTGGACATTTGCAGCCTTTGGATCAGTTAGAAAAAGCAAAGTTGGCTCCACTTGTTTACATAACGCTCTGCCAACCTCTCAGCCAGTCTGAGGAGACTGTGTAAGGGGACTGGGTTGAGCTATGTTTCAGCATGTTTATCCCCCTACCTCCAACCCCATTCTCCCTGTATCCTCTCCTGTAGCTAAGACATCAAACAGCAAAGATGTTCAGAAGGTGTGAAATAACCATAGGCAATATTAAATCCCAGCAGTTTCTTTAAGAAAATGAAACTTAAATGAAGAATAAATGTGGCCTATATCTGTGCAGTTGAACAAAGTCACTTCCAGTGTTGATCCACAGGCCCCCGAGACTGTAGGCACGCACAGGCACTGCAAGGTACGACCTCCTGAGTGCAGAACACTTTCTTTTCCTTCTCTTCCAGACACCATAGTACAGTAGATATGTAGTAGACCACCCTTCTGAAACACAACCACATAGCCAGGCAAACAAGAGACCCACAGCATGCTGAGAGCAACTCTGTTCCTAGCAGTGTAATTGGCAGCTATTCAGATCAACTTTAGGCAACTGGGACACTATGCAATTCCTATGTGAAGGATTTTTCAGGACAACATGGTTTATTTTCAGAAAAAATTCAAAAATCCTACTTTTCATAAAAGCCTCTAGTTCACCTGTCAGGCAGACATCAGAGAATTCTGGACACAAAGATCATTTCTCCTGTGTGTTTTCAAAGGTCAGGTTGTTCCCCACTACTGCTGCCACCACCTCCACTGCTACCACCACTGTTAGTTAACAGGCAGAAGCCAATAGCCCCATGGTCATCTGCCCTTTGAATCTCAAAAGCCTGAGACTTACCAGGTTGCCTGGCTCACCCGTAAATACAATCCCACTCACTAGGGTCCATCTTCTGAAGCTGCTAAGGAGTACAGAGTAATTATGGGCAAGTTCTCTCTTTGGTGATCCCACAAACACAAACCACAACAAAAGTTGCTGTCTCCTGCTTCACCAAGCCATTTGGATACTGGGGTACAGACTTCATAGGCCTAAGGAGTTGCTATGGAGTCGAGGGGAATGATTTGGGAGTGGAAGAGAAACTCTAGATGGGGGCCCCTGTAGTCAATTCACAACAACAACAACTTTTAAATATATTAATGGTGCCTTTTCTACCAAACTGGCTTTCCCAAGGCTCAGATGACCTCTGCTCCAAGAATGCTCAATGACTGCTCAAAACAAGTTCGTGACTGAACTCATCCCAGAGCCCACATCTCCCTATGTGAAGGTAGCCCGGGCTTCCTTCATAACTGAATTTAAACTTCATTCTTGGAACCAAGACCAGCCTTTTCACCTGAAAGGTAAGGCTATCACTTGCTTTTTACCATATGCCAAATATATCCTGGGACTCAAACTACTTTAAACCACTTCACAAATGTCAGGTGGAGGGATATATGCTAGCTCAGAGAGAGGAGTTAAGCAACTGAACCTTAAAAGCAGTGCACTGGGCCAGCAGGTCCCAGTTTTCCTGGAAAATTATCTCACTTCATAGTCACACAGCTATGCTGCAGATTGGACAAGCCAAGAAGCCTCATCAGGAAGCATTTAACAAGGACATTGGTTCTTGCTCCCCACACTTCACAAGGAGTGGGAAAAGGTCAACTATTGAAGTCAGAAAAAATAGCATTTTTTTGGTTTATTTTAGATATCCAACCACAGATTGAGATCATTGTAGGGCAGCATTTGAAAGGAAGACTGAAAAGATGTGGCATTGCATCCTCTTTCAGAAAAGAGGGCGCCTGGAGTCCAACAATATGGGAGATCCGGCTCTTACACAAGTGCACAGTGGTCAGGGAAGCATGGACCGTGGAAGACAGTCTAGGTCTGACCCGTCCTTGATGACTGTGTGGCCCTGAGCACATGATTAGACCTCTCTGTGCTTCAACCCCCTCACCTTTAAAATGCAAAATGTAATGTATGCCTCTACTACCCTCACAAGGTTATCATAAAAATTAAATGAGTTCATATTTGTTTAAAAAAAACAAGCGGGCCTCCCGGGTGGCGCAGCGGTTGAGCGCTGGATTGCGAAGCTGCCCACAGCCTCTGCAGCGCTGGTTCGATCCCTGGCTGCTCCCCGGCCACCGGAGGAGGGTCCCACATGGCGCGCAGACCTCTCCTGCCGCCCGCTGCTCCCCTCAGCAGTGTACTTCGGTCCTTCTGCCTGCTCTGCTCCCTGCTCTGGCTCTGGTGAATTCTCTCACCCTCCCGCGCTTCTGACTGTACCCAGTGCATGTATAAACAAACAAACAAACAAACAAACAAATAAAACATGCCTCTATAAAAAAAAAAAAAGAAAAAAAAAACAAAAAACAACAAGCATTTAAAACAACACCTAGCATACTACAAACACTTCAAGTGTTTGCTAAATAAACACCTTGCAGAATTCTAAGGGAGAGTAAATGTGTGGTTTGCTTATTAATGTGACAGTTGGAAGTTAGCCATAAATTAAAAAATTAATGGGGCTTCCCTAGTGGCGCAGCGGTTGAGCGCTGGGTTGCGAAGCTGCCTGTAGCCTCTGCAGTGCCGGTTCGATCCCCGGCCACCAGCGAGGGTCCCACATGGCGCGCAGACCTCTCCTGCTGCCCACTGCTCCCTTCAGCAATGTATTTCGTCAGTCTGCCTGTTCTGTTCTCAACTCTGGCTCTGGTGAATTCTCTCACCCTCCCGCGCTTCTGACTGTAGCCAGTGCTTGTATAAATAAATAAATCTTTAAAAATTTTAAATTAAAAAATTAATGGATAGATTTACTGATAGGTGCGGACAATTTTAGAGTTGATTTGAGGCTTAAAAGTGCCCAAAACAGGGCCTCCCCTGGTGGCGCAGCAGTTGAGTTTTGGGCTGCGAAGCTGCCCGCAGCCTCTGCAGTGCCAGTTCGATCCCCGACCGCCAGCGAGGGTCCCACATGGTGTGACAGACCTCTCCTGCCGCTCCCGCCGCTCCCCTCAGCAGTGTATTTCGTCAGTCTGCCTGTTCTGTTCCCCGCTCTGGTGAATTCTCTCGCCCTCCTGCGCTTCTGACTGTACCCAGTGCTTGCATAAATAAATAAATAAATCTTTAAATTAAAAAACAAAAAAGTGTCCAGAACAAGTTTATCTGACCTCCTGGTGTTCAAAGTGACCTCAATGGGAGACTTCCCAGACTGGGGTAAGGGGGGAGGTATCCAGCCCTGATGAAGCTACATCAGGCCTACTGCACTGCTGTGAGCACTAAGCATCTGCCCTCATCTCCACAAGCCCATGACATATCAGAACCACTGACCTTTTCTGTGGATGAGACTGAAGTCCAAAGATGTTAAATAACTTGTCCACGGTACTGGAGGGTAGAACTATACTGAAATCAGAGGCTGGACACTAAAGCCAGTGCACTGGCAAAATGCAAAAAGCTCTGGTAACTTCAGGCTCCAATCATAAGCAATTTCTCAAAGTGCTAATGAAAGTGTTCACTGATATCCATTTTTCTTGATGTTAGTCCTACTTTTAAATAGCTTAATTCTCCAGGGGAGGAGGAGGGAGAGGTATTAGAGGGAGGGAGGAAGGAGTAGAGAGGACTGAGGTGATGGTGCACGGGTGCACTGGTGAAGGAAACTCTATGGGGACTACACCTGAGGTGGTGAGGGGAAGCAAATACTGTTTAAAAATGAACAATGATGTAAAAAAATTAAAAAATTAATATTAAAAAATAAATAAAAATAAAAAATAGTTTAATTCCTCCCTAAACTATAAAATTAAGCTTTTTGAGAGCAAGGTAGAACAACTGTCAGCAAATGTAAACCACCTAAATTGCAACAACTTTAACAAAATAGTTCTCTACATACCAGTGTGTTACCCCAAATTATTTCATTTTACTAAAAAAAAATCTGGCCTTCCCAAAGAATTTTACACATACATAATTTCTTTCTCAAGTAACACAACCAATAAACAATGGCAATCTCCTGAAGACAGAAGGGAAGAAGAAAATAAAGAAAGAACATAGAGACCCTTATTTTCCAGAAAGGGTTTGAACATAACATTGAAAGGAGAAAAAAACCGTCTTTTAATCCCAGTTCTCCCTAAGCAAAAACTTAAAAACCCGGCACTCCCTGGTGGCACAAGGGGTTAGGCAACACACTATGAGCAATCTGCAGCCTCTGCAGTATGAGTTCGATCCCTGGCTGGCCAGGGAGCAACCCACATGGCGCAGCAGACCTCTCCTGACTCACCCACTGCTCCCCTCAGCAGTGTGCTTCAGTCGATCTGCCTGTTCTGTTCCCCACTCTGTCTCTGGTGAATCCTCTCACCCCCTGCATCTCTAGCCTGTACCCCAGCTCTTGTATGCATAAATAAATAAATCTTTTTTTTAAAAAAAAAGAAAGAAACTTTAAAACCTATTTATACACGTCAAAATGTGCAAAGTGCCAGGAGAAATACATTTTCTTAAACCAAGAAGATCTTGTTTCTATTTTTCTTTGAGAAATTTGAGGTCTTCAAAAACAGATTCCTTTGACTTTAACTTCACATAAAAATATGTGAGATAGTTTGGTCTCTAAAACTCTTGAATCCAACTAGGATAAACTGTTTTCCCTACCTCAACTGCCCCAGTGGATTTTGCCCCTTTCCCACATTTAACTGTACACACACAATGTTACCTTTCCCTATCATTCCTGAAGGACCCACATTTCCTCCCATCCTTGTCCTTTATCATTTTGAACTACTGTCCCCTCCCACAGTAATGAAGGGTAAAAGGGTCCCATAAAAATGCAACTTTTTAGAAAGCCAAATCTCTTACCCTTTCTTGTGTTAACTTATGAAAAAGGGAGGCTACCCTTTCCCACCGCCTGGCAGCCCCTCTTGCATGAAGCCTGAGAGGCTAGTAATCCAGAGGAAGAATGTCTTGCAAGTCCCAACCCTAGTCTCAAAACAGTTTTGCAATTTGTCCTACTCCCTGTGTAAAGCTATATTCAGAACAGACACTTTGCTTCCAAGAGATATAATAAATGTAGGCAAGGATTCAATAAGACATTGCCATTAATGTTTGATAGGGGTGAAGGGCTGAGGAAGAGAGGGTGTCAAGGAGGACAAGGGAATTTTTTATATGTCCAGTCACATTTTGACCATCTCCAGGGAGTTTGCTGACTTCCAAGTTTTATAAGGCCCTGAAGTCAAAGTGAAAAAAATGTCTAAAACAAAACTAAAGGGCAAAGAAAAATAAAAATTAAATATATATTCCATTTTTCACAATGTTCTGCCAATGCCACATGACACAGCCTCGTGCTGTGCAAGCAGCCAGGCCTTCAGCTGCAATGAGGAAGAGGCTGGAAAAGCAGCAACAATGAAACAAAAAAGGTGAAGAGAGCCATGGTGTTTGCAGAGCTATCAGGCGCTTCCAGAATGCTCTCTAGGGAAGAGAATCTGTGTACTAGGATACGGTACTCCCAACCCTCATCTCCTCCCCAGATGCCTTAACTATAATGTCTATTTTAGCAGGATGGATTCCTGATGTTAGTGTGCCTCTGAGGATTACTCAATTTCAGGTTTCCTGTCCTACGAAATACTTTACACAAGCTATCAGAAGATAATGTGGTCCTCACCAGTTTCCTGCTTATCAGTCTTCCCCCACTGCCAAACAGAATGTATTCTCTTTCATTTGTTTGTTCCAAAAAAGCCTCTCAACACCAACTCAAAAGAAGAAAGAAACTGGGCCTCCCTGGTGGCGCAAGGGGTTGAGACGCAACCTATGAAGCTATCCGCAGCCACTGCAGCACAAGTTCAATCCCCAGCCAGGGAGCAACTCACATGGTGCAGCAGACCTCTCGTGACTCGCCCGCTGCTCCCCTCAGCAGTGTGTTTCAGGCATTCTGCCTGTTCTGTTCCCCACTCTGCCTCTGGTGAATCCTCTCACACCCCCCATGCCTCTGGCCTGTACCTCAGTTCTTGTATGCAGAAATAAATCTTAAAAAAAAAAAAAAAAGAAGAAATATCCCAAAGAATTTCTTTCATGCTCCAGCCCTCCACCCAACAGTCGCAGGCCATATTCTGACAGTCACTGCCCGTTGGCAATGCTCACCCCTTTCTCAATGTGATGGCACCACCATTCTTCAGTTATCACAGTACTGTACCTTTCAGATATACAGCATCGGTACCATGATAACCGAAAAAGGACAGTTCAGTCTCATATCTACCTTAATATTTTCTCCCACACAACCCCTCTGCCCCAAAGATGGCCATATAATGACCTTCAAGTATATAAGCATGTATATACACACACAGGGATATAACAGTGCTCAAACAGGCTGTTTACAGCAACTTCATTTACTATCACTGGGAAGTGCTTCTTTCACTGTGCTGTTATAATTCACATCTTCCTATGTGAGCTGCTCTTTTTGGTGAGTACTTAATTTAATACCTCTGCAATCAATTTCTGTTAACATGTAATGGTCTCAGACTCATTTCTACCATCTCCCTACTAGTCCAGTGGCATTCCTATAAACTCAGTCTCTTTCTTTCTTTCCAGTCAGTTCACATCCTACCATCTTGGACAAAGCTAGGGGAAAGAGGGATTTTTAAAAAAACTAACAACAAAACCCAAGCTGTAATAGAACCAGTTTACTTTCCCTAAAATGGAAAAAAAATGAAGTACAGACACAAGTACTGTCTACTAGATATCACATTAATTTAATGGCATGGGAATAAGGAAATGACAGCAACAGGAAGCAAAATAAGCAGGAATGACAATTTCTGACTCATTTAAGGATCAGTACAACCAGATGTTCACAGTACCAGGCTATACATGGTACAACACCTTTGTCATCTTGTACAACTGGAAGATTAAACTGGACAGAATAAAGAGGTTCAAAAAAACAACTCACGTGTAGGGAGAGAGTGGTCCTAGCAGGACTTTGGAAACATCCTGCTGTCCAAGGGTCATGAGCAAAAGAGCCAGGCTCTGATTGGTCGAGTCCACACATCCACCCTATAAACATAAACACTTTAAAAGTTAATCGTTATACCAACAAGAGAGTGGAAAACCAACAAAACAGAAGAGGAAAGAAAACAGAAAAGGATACCCAGAATAGCAGAGTCCACATAAAACCAGATTGTGATGTTCAAGCAATGATAAAATACAACATGGATCTTTTAAGAGTAATCTTTACATCAACTATAGTTAAATCAATGCAAATTGTAGTAACTAGAACTAACAGAATGGACATTCAAGTCTATCTGTGAAAGATAAAACTTTCCCTTCATAATTAAAATAACAGCAGGACATATAATCAAAAAATATATAATCAGTTCTAGGAAATGTATAGTTAATTACCAAGCATTAACTCAATGACTTACATTTATTTAATCTGTCATAAAACACCACAGTCACTCAGAAATAAAAGGACCTTTATCTTAAAGGGCCTTAACGATAGTTATTCAAATAGATCCAAACTGCTTGCCATATTACATTAGTTTCTCCTCTTTATCTTTTTCTGTATATGTTAAAATTGGAGAACTACTGAAATCACATCCTTCCATTCTTATATCTTATGTATTATTTTTCACCACTTTTTCATCTTTTCCCACCAAATCAATAAGCACAAGTCTTTTCAAAAACTTTCTCCTGGGGGCCTCCCCGGTGGCGCAGCGGTTGAGCGCTGGGTTGCGAAGCTGCCCGCGGCCTCTGCGGCGTCGGTTCAATCCCCGGCTGCTCCCCGGCCATTGGAGGAGGGTCCCACATGGAGCGCAGACCTCTCCTGCCTCCCGCTGCTCCCCTCAGCAGTGTACTTCGGTCCTTCTGCCTGCTCTGCTCCCTGCTCTGGCTCTGGTGAATTCTCTCACCCTCCCACGCTTCTGACTGTACCCAGTGCATGTATAAACAAAAAACAAACAAACAAACAAACAAATAAAAAAAAAAAAAACCATGCCTCTATAAAAAAAATTAAAAAAACAAACAAACAAACAAAAAAAAAAAAAAAAACTTTCTCCTGAAGTACAGTTGCTTTGGTTTTCTTTCTTCTTTCATTCTTGAATTTCTCAAACATTTCAGGCATTTGCTTCTTTTGGATGCATACTACTATTGTTTAAATTAGTGGCTTAAAACTGTCTTTATTTCTTTTTTTTAAAGATTGATTGATTGATTGATTTATGCAAGCACTGGGTACAGTCAGAAGCACGGGAGGGTGAGAGAATTCACCAGAGCCAGAGCCGGGAGCAGAGCAGGCAGAAGGACCGAAGTACACTGCTAAGGGGAGCAGCGGGCGGCAGGAGAGGCCTGCACGCCATGTGGGATCCTCCTCCGGTGGTCGGGGAGCTGCCGGGGATAGAACCGGCACTGCAGAGGCTGTGGGCAGCTTCGCAACCCAGCGCTCAACTGCTGCGCCACCGGGGAGGCCCAAAACTGTCTTTATTTCTGCTCATTCTTTCTAGTATAATTTTAGTTAAAAACCCAAGCTAATACTGTATAAAGTGAAAGCAGGATAACCTTGAATTTCTACAGATTTTGTAGACATCACAGTAAGAAACCCAGTTTCTGACCACAACACAACTGTCCAAGGCTAGACTCTTCCAGATTTTGAATATAATAGGTAGCCACTCATTGCTATTTATATAAATACACCCCCCTCCTTTTAATGCTATTTATATAAATACACCCCCCTTTTAATGAATAAAACAATTCTCAAGAACAGACAGCCATTCTGTCAGATAATGCAGTAAAAAAATAAGGGGATTTATACTACTACTAGTTTTTATGAAAATCTATTGCTTTTTCTAAACTAGTTGAATTAATAAAGGACAATATTTATCTCAATTAGCAAATTTTGCAGTAAGAGAAATCACAGCATTTATGAGGGTCCAAAAAGGAAAACCTGAACTATGGAGAAGAATGAGAATAAAAATTTGTTCTTTCATAAGAGTGTCTAAAATTAAACTGTTCGGGCCTCCCTGGTGGCACAAGGGGTCAAGCACCACACTATGAAGCAATCCACAGCCTCTGCAGCACGAGTTCAATCCCTGGCCAGCCAGAGAGCAACACACATGGTGAAGCTGACCTCTCCTGGTTCGCCTGCTGCCCTCCTCAGCAGTGTATTTCAGTCAGTCTGCCTGTTCTGTTCCCCACTCTGTCTCTGGTGAATCCTCTCACCCCCCGTATTTCTGGCCTGTACCCCAGCCTTGTATGTATAAATAAATAAATATTTAAAAACAAAAAAAAGCACAAAAAAAACTAAATTAAATTAAACTGTTCTTTTTAGTCTTTGCTCCCTATCACCATGGTTGCCATTCCACCAATCGCAAATGATTTTTATTATGTACTGGACCAGTATTTTAATCTAACAAATATGCTAGGATCTGTGTATAGGACACCATGGAAGGAGAGAGCAGGGCGATCTCTACAGCAAAGGATGCAATCCTTAGTGTGAATGGCTTCAATGTCACTGCAATAGTGATATATGAGCAGAACCTAGACACAATTTAACCTGAAGCCAAAGCTATGCAGAGCAATAGGACAGCCAGTGCTTCTTACCCTGCACCAGAGGGAGGATTTGGGGAAGAAGGAACTTAAGTGGCTCCTGGAGAGTAACAGATTTGGAGAAGGAATGAGAAAAAACACGATCCAGAGACTAAAAGGGGGCTGCATGCTGTCTTCAGATAAGTATATGAAACACAGGGAGGTGAATTAGGCATATTAAGGTAGGGCTTTTCTAAGCTGGTCAAGAGTTTTTAATTTATCTTGGAAGTGAGAAGCAAATGGAAGTCTCTGAACACAGGAGTGAAAAGATTAGATCAGTGTTTTAGGAGAAGATTTAGACTGAAGGTGTTAGAAAGGATTTGGAAAGGACTTCATCTCTGCAAGTGGTGACAGGCAGTACATGTAGCCCAGGTCTGGGAAGGTGGAGGTGGGTAGTGGATGGAGACGACAGAAAAGATCAACAGGAAATAGTGCACATAGGAAGCCTGAAATAAAGTCAAGAAGTATTGGTAATCGATGAGGCATAAATGGAACAAGAGAGACTAGATCAAAAGATTCAAACTTAAGTAAAAATAAATGACAACTTCAAAGGCAATATTTTTATTATTCATTTAAATTATGTCATGATGGGCCTCCCCGGTGGCATAGCGGTTGAGCGCTGTGTTGCAAAGCTGCCTGCAGCCTCCCCCGGCTGCTCCCCGGCCACCGGAGGAGGGTCCCACATGGCGCGCAGACCTCTCCTGCAGCCCGCTGCTCCCCTCAGCAGTGTACTTCGGTCCTTCTGCCTGCTCTGCTCCCCGCTCTGGCTCTGGTGAATTCTCTCACCCTCCCACTCTTCTGACTGTACCCAGTGCTTGTATAAATGAATAAATAAATAAATAAATAAATAAATAAATAAAGTCATGCCACAGAATAGAGAATTATTCATAAATACATTATTTTATCCTCTTAATTAAAAATCCTAGACACATACAAAGGAACTTTTCTTAAAGATTTCAAAAAATAAAAAAATAAAACTGGTCTTCAACTGCCAGTTACACCTGACTTGCTTTGGTTTTTTACCTTCTCTCCCCTTATGTTTCTGCTGAAGTTCTTTTCTCTTCTCACCATTAAAACTTACCTAGCCTATATTCCAACCCAGCAGGGCTAGGTCTCTACTCTAAGACTAGTTCAGTAATCCATTAAACTAGTTCATGCTAAACTGTTTAATGGACAGGATCAGGTTAACTCCTTGGACCAAGGACAATGAAATGATTTGAAGTAGAAGTTAATTAAAGAAAAAAATTAAATAACCTAACCCAGACTGCATGTTTTTTTTTTTTCCTCTTGTGGACAGACATGCTATGCTTTTGCCTGGAAGGATTATGATCTGCTATTTATAGGGATATAAAACCCAACTCCAGCTGTGCCTATAGGCTCCCACTGAGCTGTTCTGTAATGTGATGCCTCCAATTCCCCCAGATCTGCTGGAAGAGAAGGGTTCCCATGGTCAGACAGAGGCCCTACAGGTCACCAGAGGAAAGAAACCTGCCCAAGTCAACAAGAGTTGTATAGGGATGCACGTAACGCATGCACATTCTTTTCTCACAAATGTCTAGATGACAAATTCCTGAACAAAATAACAAACAGGGCAACCTGATCACTTACCCCAACTTCTAGTTAGTTACTACCCATCTTTTACAACCACTAAAGTTAGCATCAAACATTGGACTAATTCAGCATCAAAAAAGCTGAAGTCATTTTGATTCTGAATCAGTTGTCACATTCAAATCTAGATTTCCAGCTTCCCTGGAAAACAATGCCCCCCTTCCATTGGGCACCTGGGGAAACTGAGAGAAAGTACACACTTTGCTCGGGGTGGTATGTGGCCTTCAACTGCCAGTCACACCTCACTTGCTTTGGTTTTTTACCTTCTCTCCCTTTATGATTCTGCTGAAGTTCTTTTCTCTTCTCACCATTAAAATTTACCTAGCCTGCATTCCAACCCAGCAGGGCTAGGTCTCTGCTCTAAAACTAGTTTAGTAATCCACTAAACTAGTTCATGATAAATTGTTTAATGGCTATGATTAGGTTAACTCCTTGGCTTAAGCTTTTGTAAGAGAGTTGCCAAGAAATATGAGAGAAGAACGCTTCCTGATGGTTCCTCTTTCAGAACCTGCAGAGGTTGTAGACATACCCTATAGATTTCTTCAAGCAGGAGCTTAGCACAGTTCCTGCCAAGGTCCTCTGGAAGCACTGCTGTTCCTTGGCCCTGAGGGTTGGAAGCCAGTTCAGCACTGAGGAAGGTGCCATTGGTGGTCTCAGCAACCAGCGACAATCCAAAACCTGGAGACCTGAGGATACAAAAGTATAGGTACTGAATAAGGATAATGAGATAAGGTTCATAATCACCACATAAGAGAAGACAAACAGCATTTTGCACACCCTTCTTCCACTGTCAAAGAACTTGCCCTGAGAATTTTTAACCATCAACACATATAATAACAAGGACTCCCAGACACTTAGCACCTATTTTGTGCCAGTTTCTAAGCTAGGAGCTTTGATACTACAACTCTGCAGGATAGATATCATCATCCACATTTTACAAATGAGGAAATGGAGAACTTAACTAACTACATCCACATAGCTAGAAAGTGGCTGAGACACATTTCAAACACAGGTCTTCCAGACTCCAGAGCCTAAGCCACTTCTCCACCATAGCACTTACTCAGCCCTTACTCACAGCCCGTTTGGAAAGTATAAGAAACCTGGAGAATAATCTGATTACAGCTCTTGAGAATATCAGGCTTTTCCCCCCATAATAAAAAATACAACAGAAGCCAGAAATGGCTTAACACCTTTATGCTTTTGTCCCTAAGGGACGTCTCTAAATTCAGAATTCAATTAATATAATCAATGAGCTGGTGCCATGTTGTTTTATTTCTACCCCCCCAACATCCAGAACCTAACATCTGCTGTCCAAAACCTCAGCTGATTCATTCACTCATCCAACAAACATTTCTGGAGAAGTGTCCAGGGACAAGGAACTTGGGCCACTATAGTAAACCACAAGTGTTCTTGACCACTTGGAGTTTAGTGACAACCAGTTTGACACATACCAAAATCAGTCCATAAGCAATTAAAAGCAAGTTTTGTTGCATAATATTTTCAGATTTGATACAGCGATTCTACTTTGCCCAATGACTTTTTTTTTAATCTTTTTTTTTTAATTTATTTATTTATTTAAGCACTAAGTATAGTCAGAGACACAGGAGGGTGGGAGAATTCACCACAGCCAGAACAGAGAGTAGAACAGGAAGAGTGACAAAGTACACTGCTGGGGGGAGCAGCGGGCTGCAGGAGAGGTGTGTGCGCCATGTGGGACCCTCACCCAGTGGCCAGGGATCGAACTGGTGCTGCAGAGGCTGTGGGCAGCTTCGCAACCCAGTGCTCAACCGCTGCGCCACCGGGGAGGCCCTGCCCAATGACTTTTAAGTAAATGTGTTACCAGGAAAGGTGCAGCAGCCTTTCCAGCAATAAGGCTATATGCAATCACAATACAGAACCCGCCTCCTTTAACAATTCAACACATGTGTTCATGAAGTATTTGGTGGTGTGTTCCCCTTAATGGAGAGAGAAGATGACTGGCACTTAGACCAAGAGAAGATTTTTTTCACTAGATTTTATTTACTCAGGGTGGAAGAACTTGTGTGTGTGTGTGTGTGTGTACAGAGTGTAGATGGGATTTAAAGTTCAAGACACTATTTGTTAATAACTAGGCTTTCATTGCCCTAGGCCTAGGGACTAGACTCCTCCACTCCCAGTGCTGGCCATTGTGACATTTTCCATATGATGGGCACTCAAAAGATGCCTGTTGCTGACAACAGTTAGTCAGAAGGAAATCAATTCTGAAATCATTCTTCCTCTGACTGCCCAACCTCAGAGCTGGCAGCATTAATGTCATTCAGAACAGTAGTTAGAAAATAGCTGGGGCAGCTTCAGAATTAGCCTCCAAAAACACTTTTGGAGTTGACTTACTTTCCGGAGTTGACTCCTTTCATGTGGTCTGTGTAAATATAGATATCGGGTATAAACTTGTTGAGGATGCTCCTTGCAGAATCCACAATCCGGTTAGCCATCTGAGGTGATACACGTACAGAGTACCTGCAACCTAGAGTTAAGGAGGGCATTCTGCTGGGACTCCAGAACAAAGAAAAGTCAGTTATAAAGCTAGCAAATACTATGGAACTGTAATAACAAACTAGGACTTCTAATTACAGTCTATTTCCCAACTATATTTACTTTATAGTAACACAACCTAATTTTTTTATCACTCTATAATTTTTACACTGCAATTTTAAAAGGCTAAAATGCTCTGGTTAAAAAAAAAATCAAACAATATAGAGAGTTGGAAAGCATAAAGTACTTCCCAATTCTGCTTCTAGACTTCCTGCTAACATTCCCTCCCCTAGAAATGGTTCAGCTCAATTTTGGGACATGGAAAGACAACTCTCTCACTGTATGACAACAGCCAGGTGAAATATCCTCTGACCCCCCTCACTGCTATAATCTTTCTTTTTCAGGACCAAAGGAAAGGATAGACACTACCTGGGTCAGGCCAAGCATAAGGCAGCTGCTGTTTATAAAGATCTAAAAAGGTTTATTTGTTTTAAACTTACAGAGCCTATTTTCAGTTATTTAAATATCAATTACCCCATTTTGTCAATGATACAGGCTTCCCATACCTGCTATTTATGGTCATAACACTGATAATTAGCACTTTTACAACACAGCACACTCAGGAAGCAAAGGAAGGAAGGAATTGGTAACTCAAATGAAAAGGCTGATATTTGAGAAAGTGGAAACTAGTAGCTTATATTAGATTTGAATGCAGAGACTTGCTGTCCCTAAATCACAAATCAAATAAAAAAAAATGTACTGAACACTTTTAATCTACAATATACAGTCAAGAGCTTCCTCTGTATGTGGGATGAGGGACTATAGAAACAGAGAGGTAACATGTCATCTCCCACTACCTAATATCCTAATCGGGTTTCCAATAGGAAAAACAAGGGATATGATGTGCCCATCCCTGCACACAAAAATTACTTTCAATAACATAATTTCCATTTGAGCTAGAGAAACAAAAAGCTCAGAGACTGTGCAAAGAAACTGACGCCATCTCTTCCCTTTTATGATCCATCCTGAACACCCCACTGTAAAAACAATCCTTCTCCATGAGAATCCCCCTGTAACTCTAAGCTCTTCCAGATCTCACTATCAAAACTCTTCAGTTTGGTCAGTATTCATCCCCAGTCTGGCACCATCATACCCCCACCCTTCCAAATTATCCAAATTCTTCAACCTGGACTGCCTGCCTCCATTATTCCAGCCCAGAGTTCTCTTTCTCTCCTGAAACCCTCTAGCCCAGTGCCCACCTATGGTCACTAATTGAACTTACCAGACATCTTCCTTCATACACACACATTTTGTTCTTGCTCTTCAACAAGACCACACACTCCACAAGGGAAAGGACTCTATTTCTGTATAACTCAGAACTCTCTAATACACTAGTTTTGTACTCAAAAATATGTGATAAATATTTGACTTGACTCAAAGGACAAACCCGAAATGAGGAAAGAGCAAAGAGGGATTTTTCAATACGCACACAGAGCCCAGTTACATCACCACCTCTCTGTCCAGAATGTACTTTGACCACAGGCATCTCAGACAAACAGTCCCGGATCTCATACCCTTTGGACCTGGGGGATGATTTTCTTCTGAAGCTGCCCACCCTTCCCAGGAAAGCACAGCTGTCCTATCTTAACACATAAACCTAGAGCATTCATGGTTCCCAAAGCTCTTTCAGGTACATAATCATCTTATTTTATACTCACTGTAATTCTGGGGCAAGGGTCACAGATTCTTGGTTCCAGAACTCACATTGAGGAAAACATCTAAGATTCAAAATTAAATAGATCCAGCTTCCCAAAGACAACTTCCTCCCCTAATGCCTCCAGAGATGTGGAAACCAAAAGGTAATAGTGCCAACTCAAGGCCAGTGAGAACCTATGCTAGAATTCAGGCAGTGAAATGAAAAAAGGAAAGGAGCTTTAAAGTCGGCTACATCTCAGAGTCGCCACAGAGCCACCTGGCTTGGAAAGGAGGCCCTACCAAGGAATGACTATGAGTTCTAGAATCAGACAATCCACCTTCAAATCCCATTTCCAGCAAAGTGCGTCACTCTGATCTCATATGCTGGTCTCTGTTCCTCCATTTCCTTATCAGTAAGAGAAGAATAATCATAATACTCTCCTCAGGGTCTGGAAGCTCAAATGAAATAATGCATGTAAAGCACATAGTGCCTGGTGGTGGCAAGAGTCCAGTGGATGTTAACTATTGCTTTTCTTACTGTTACTTCGACATTCAAATCCAAAATAGTTTCTTATCCTTCTGGAAATCAGAGACCTCTAGGAATGTGATAAAAAGCTACAGACTCTCTTATACATATACCCTACTGCAGACAATTTCAGGGGAATGTGATAAAAAGCTATCGACTCTCTGAAACACACACACACCCTTCTGCAGACCATTTCAGGGAAATGTGTACCTCCTGAAGCCCACTGATGAATACCATATGAAGAACTCTATCCAAGACAGATTCATAGTTACAGTCCATAAGAAGCTCCCCCCCATTCTTCTCCCTTCCTGTTGTTCAAGGTCAGAGAAAGGTAAAGAGACTGTGTATATTTGAGAGGGAGAGTGGGGGAGAGGGTAGGAATGGGGGAAAAGATTGAGATTCTCTAACCACTTTCCTCCATGGTTAGAGAAAGGAAACCAAATTGTCCCCAAAATTACAACTCTCTCCAATCTTCTGCTTCTACCCCAAGCTTTTTCTTTTAATTCTTATATACCAAATCATCACTACTGGGACAGAATCACAAAATTAAAACACAGTGTTCCCTTCTCTCATCCTGCATCAGGTAGGTAGAAAATGAGAATGGGTGGCGTTAAACAAAGATTAAACCTATGCCCCTCACAAAGGGAAAAGAAGCATTTTGGGGGGTGACTCAGTTAAAACCACAAACACACTCAAGAGTAGAGCTAGTTCTCTTACCTTGATCCCTCCTATGAGGAACAAAACCTCAAGCTCAGCCCAACAGTGGTTAAAAAGCAAACAAACAACAACCAAAAAAACCCACAAAACCAGCTAAAGGTTTTTCCAAAGGGAGTTCTTTTATCCTAGGCTCCAAAACTGGCCAAGAAAGTTGGATCTCAATTCAAACCCACATTCCTTGGAGGTGTTTATAAAATGGGCAGTTCTGTCAGTGGCTGGAACATTTGGTTTGCAGACAGGGATCTGAGACCGGTGCTGCAATAACTTTCCTCAGGAGTTCAGAGAAAGGCTCTCTAAGCAGAGGTGTACTGAGGATGATTCAGATGTCCCACCCCACCTCAAGAAAGGGGTGGGGGGCCTCCCTAGTGGCACAGGCGGTTGAGCGTTGCACTGTGAAGCTGCCCGCAGCCTCTGCAGCACGGTTTTGATCCCGGCCGGCCGGCCGGCGAGAATCCCACATGGCAAGGCAGACCTCTCTTGTCTTGCCCGCTGCTCCCCTCAGCAGTGTACTTGGTCACTCTGCCTGTTCTGTTCCCCACTCTGTCTCTGGTGAATCCTCTCACCCTCCCGTGCATCTGGCCTGTACCCCAGCTCTTGTATAAAAACAATAAATCTTTAAAAAGAAAGGGGTGGGACTCAGGACTTCACCAGTCTTTCTGGCTCAGATTCCACATAAGAAAGTCTCAAAGAAAACCACGAAGAAGCCAGGGAGGAACAAAGTCACACCGCAGGTGCCTAGGGGCACAGCAGTTCTCTTAGCTTTCACATTCTCATCCATACAACCCCAGGGGCTTCCCCATTTCCCAGTGTGGTCATCAAAGCCCTCCTCAGAAGGTTTTGTGCACCTAGTACAGAGAGTACAGGAGGGACTCGAGTATGACAGCCTTGTCACACTCGTGTTATTAACAGAAGACTTTGTCAAAAAACACATGCTGGAAATCACATTTCTAGACTAGCGAGGATAGATTCTCAGCACAGTTCACTGCCATGATACAGCAAAAAGAAAACAAATCTCAAATGAGAATAACCAAATTGAAATAGTCCTGGCAGTGAGGTAGGATTTCAGGTGTAAGGCCACTGCCACAATATTTTGGTAACAGTGAAAAACAGAAGAAAATTCAATGACCATCAAAGAGTTTAATTTGGGGTCCTTTATATGGTGAAATACAATGTTTCCATTAATACAAACAAGGCTTGAGTTATAAGTAACTGAAACAAAAAGACATATTTGGTAAAAGAAAACAAACACTCATATTGCATTTCCATTTCTCCATAACCTGTTTTAATCTCCTCAAAATCAGAGAATTTAAGAGTTAAACGTCACCTTCAGAAGTCAATTTAACTACGCACCTGGGGGTTCCCAGAACAGGAGGCGGTTCTCCCTCACCCTCTCTCTTTACATACAGGGGATGCGCCCCTTAGAAGGACTCTGGTAAAGCCATGCTGAGAACAGACCATATCCAGCGTTTTTCGATATAAATTCACTGTTCCTGATCCTTAGAAGAACTTCAAGCAACAGTGTAAGTTTGATCTTTTATCTCAACAACAGCTCTCTCTACCTGGTGGTTGTGAGGCCTACCCTATTCCACGTCCTCTTCACTTACTAATAAGTTCACCTGGGTCTCTGAAAAATTAGTTCATTGCACACTTCTTTTCATCCAAGTAAAACTTCCTCCCAAGTCCCCTGAGGAATACAAATTTGACCTTAAGCATCTTCCCCAATCCTGAGAAGACTACCTACTTTGTCAAACTTCCCTTTAACCCCAAGAAAGTCATTCCCCAAACCTATCAAGTGCCCTGGCATCCAACACCTGCTCTTACCCAGATCTTGTCAGCACATAGAATTTTACCACTTTTAATATCTGAAATCCAAAAACACACTTCCCTCAACACAATTGCTTGTTTCTTCTGCACAGCACACATATCTACTTTCACTAGACTGAATCTTTAACCTGTTACGGTTTCTAAGGTTTCCCCTGACCACCTGGTTTCTTGACTGGCAAGCCCCTACTACATTACTAGTAAGGAGTACACTGGTCGTCACTACAAAGAAAACGCTCATCAATACTCCCTCCAATTCAGACTTCCACACACTCACCCAGTCAATCATAACCATCCCTGGATGAAACTGGCCCTCCTGCTGTCTCTACTCTCTCTTGCTGCCAGCTGCTACTATACACAGCCACACAGTCACGCAGTTGGCACCATGATACAACTGCAGCCTCAGCAGGGCCCTTATTGTTGTTCCACAGCCTTTTTCTTTTCTTTGGTTACTACACCAAACTGTATCCACCACCACTGTCACACTCTTTTATCCCTGACCAAATCCTAACTGAGTCACAATTCAAAATTCCTCCCAACCCGCTTCAAATCACCTCCAGACAGCTGGATCAAGAGCCATCCTTATCACAGACCTTCATATCACATCTTTAATCCATCCCCTGTCAAACAATAATAAAAATAATAGCAGGGACCCCGCTTGTGGCACAAAGGGTTAAGACGCAACCTATGAAGCTGTAGCAGCCTCTATAGCATGCCCTGCCGGCCGGCCAGCCAAAAAACAACCCACATGGAGCAGCAGACCTGTCCCGTCTCACCCGCTGCTCCCCTCAGCAATGTACTTCGGTCAATCTGCCTGTTCTGTTCCCTACTCTGTCTCTGGTGAATCCTCTCACCCCCCACACCTCTGGCCCATACCCCAGTTCTCATATGCATAAATAAATAAATCTTTAAAAAAAAAATAAAAATAACAGCAGCATACACAAGCCCAGCACATCATATTAAATAATACCTCATCCTCATATAATCTTCATTGCAGGTATGATATGACACTATACCATGTCATAGTATAGTGGGTCCAAAGATAACTGAATCAACCAAAGCTTGGGGCCAAGATCCTATCATCAGTGGTAGCACCAGAGTCACTACCCACAGCAGTGATTGCAATATCTGTGCTTTAATCACTTTGCCACATTGATTAATAAGTCTCCCTCTCTCCGGCTTAAATCTGTTTTACCTAATCTACATAAATACTCAAATCATTGCCAGCTCATGTTTTTTTAAAGGGAAAGAATCTTCTCAACTCTCTCTTCATCAAATTACCTGATCTTTCTTTTTACTACTCTTTCCTGTAAAAAATTTCCCTCTCAGATACTCCACAATCCAAAACTGGTTACTGACCTATGTTTCTACCACTCTTGGAAAGAGTACCTCACAGGGAATCGGCAGCAGCCTGCTGTGAGTTCTTCGCCTGTCTCCCCAGCCAAATGCTGACTCCTCTGGATCGGGGCACTGACCTGGGCTTCAAGAAGCTGCATTCTTTATTTTCCTCCCAACTCTTTAACTTTTCCTAGTCTGCCTCCTGGAAGCACTTACTTCATTTCCGCTTTCAAGTTTTACTGATCTCTCAGGATTTTCATCCTCCTTTGTAGTGTACATGGTAGTTTCAATCCTTCTCAAATCATTCATTTCTGGACTTCACCTTGTCTCCAAGTTGCAAATCTACATTTCTAATTTCCTTACCAAAGTTACCTCCCTGTAACCATCTTGAAGAAGCCTCAAACTTAACATGAATAAAACTGATTTTAATCTTCACCATCCCCAACCCTGCCACAGCCCACCCCAAATATTTGTAGCTATTATCAAAACAAACATCTCCAGCCAGATGCCTAAGTGAGAAACAGCAAATTTATCCAAGTATATAAGGAATTCATACAACACAATATCAAAACACAAATAACCTGATTAAAAAATGGTCAAAGGATTTGAATAGATTTGAATAGTTTCTCCCCAAATATACACAAATGGCCAAAGGGTATATGAAAAGGTGCTCAACACTTTTAATCATCAGAGAAATACAAATCAAACAATGAGATGTCATCTCAAACTGCTAAACAGAAACAAAAAAACAAAAACAAACAAAAAAATGTGGTGAAGGTGTGGAGAAAAGGAAGTCTTACACACTGTTGGTGGGAATGTTAATTCATATAGCCATCATGAAAATAAATACAGAAGTTTCTCAAGAAATTAAAAAGATCCATATTGAACTGAAAGGGGTTATGCTAAGCAAAATAAATCAGAAAAGGGACAAATGTTAAATGATTTCACTCAGATACGGAATATAAAGAAATAAAACAAAGGAAAGACAAAACAAACCCTACAGGGGCCTCCCCGATGGTGCAGCAGTTGAGCGCTGGGTTACGAAGCTCCGATTCGATCCCCGGCTGCTCCCCGGCCACCGGAGGAGGGTCCCACATGGCGCGCAGACCTCTCTTGCCGCCCGCTGCTCCCCTCAGCAGTGTACTTCGGTCCTTCTGCCTGCTCTGCTCCCCGCTCTGGCTCTGGTGAATTCTCTCACCCTCCCGCGCTTCTGACTGTACCCAGTGCTTGTATAAATAAATAAATAAATCTTTTTTTAAAAAAATAAAAAAAAAAAAAAACATCTAAAAATCTGAGTGTAGAATTGAGGCTATAAATCAGAAAGGGCTGGGGCTAGGAGACTAGGGAGCACAATGGACGATGTAGAGGATTATTAGTGCTTTGGTTGTGGACATGGAGTTACGGCAATATCCATCTGAAGAGGTATAAACCTATGCCCTTAAAATATATACAGTGTTGGGCCTCCCAGGTGGTGCAAGGGGTTAGGCACCACACTACGAAGCAATCCGCAGCCTCTGCAGCATGAGTTCGATCTCCGGCCAGCCAGGAAGATCCCACATGGCAGACATACCTCTCCTATCTTGCCCGCTGCTCCCCTCAGCAATGTATTTCAGTCAATCAGCCTGTTCTGTTCCCCAATCTGTCTCTGGTGGATCCTCTCCCCCCCACATCTCTGGCCTGTACCACAGCTCTTGTATGCATAAATAAATAAATCTTTTAAAAAAATATATACATATATATATACAGCATTCTAAACCAACAAGACCTCAATGAAAATTAATTTTCAACAAATAAGATTTTTAGTGAACTTAACATATACAAATGCTGATTTATAATAATGCATATCTGAAAAGTATGTAATGTTATAATGCAATCCTATTTTAATAAAAAAAAATTTTTAAATCCATGAGATCTAGCAATTCTACTTCTAAACATACATCCAAAATAATTGAAATCAAGATCTCATAGATACATATGTACTCGTATGTTCATTTCATCATTAGTCATAATAGCTAAGATATAGAAGCAACTTAAATATCCATTGACAGATGAAGAAAATGTGATATTTACATACAATGGAATATTATCTATCCCTTAAAAATGTCACAACAGGGTACTATAGAATCTATAGTACCCTGTATTAAGTGAAATCAGCTAGACACAGGAGAACAAACATTACATGATCCCGATTATACATATAAATAATCTAAAGTAGTTAAACTCATAGAAGCAGAGACTGGAATGGTGGTTGTCAGGGGTTAGAGAGGGGAAAATGGAATGGTGGTTGCTAAGGGTAGAGAAGGAAAAATGAGAAAGTGTTGCTAAAAAGTACAAAGTTTCAGTTATGCAACATAAGTCTACAGGGTCCACTGCACACCTTAATGTACCTATAGCTAAGAATACCGCATTTATACTTAGAAAGCTGCTAAGAGGATAGACCTTACATTGTGATCTTGTCACCAGAAATTTAAAAAATTAATTTTTTTTAAACTAAGACAGAGCCTCCCTAGTGGCACAAGGGGCTAAGTCACAGCACTATAAGGCTATCTGCAGCCACTGCAGCAAGAGTTCGATCTCCGGCCAGGGAGGTGACCCACATGGCACAGCAGACCTCTCCTGTCTCGCCTGCTGCTCCCCTCAGCAGTGTAGTTCAGTCAATCCACCTGTTCTGCTCCACACTCTGTCTCTAGTGAATCCTCTCACCCCCAACACCTCTGGCCTGCACCCCAGTTCTTGTATGCATAAATAAATCTTTTTAAAAAATTAAAAAAAAAAAAAAACTAAGATGGCAGGAACAATCTTTCAGAGGTAACAGACATGGAAGCTGATGGTACTGATTATGTCAATGGTTTCACAAGTGTATACTTATCTCCAAACATTAGTTGCACACATTAAAGTCTGTGTGGTCATTCGTATGTCAAATAATAACTGTAGCTCAAAAAAGTTTTTAAAAAATTAAGGTAATTAATTAATTGATTATCAAAGTCTAAGCAGAGTAAGCACTAAACAAACAGTAAATATTATTCCCTACATCCTGTACACAAAATTAGCCACTCTCTTAGCTTCCCCCACTCACTATGCATACATCTACATGATTTTACACATTATATCAAAACTATGTGCTTGCATATTTCATTTCTTCACCAAGTAATGAGATCTCCCTTCTGAGGAAGAGATTTCAGTGCATTTGAAGGCCCCAAGCCACAGCTTTTGGGAGAGTATTACATATATACAAATCATTTGCTGAGTTAACTGAATAAATCAATTTAGTCATGTTGAGGCAAACAATAAAGCATCATATCTCAACCAACAATTACAATTTCATTGTCAAGAATTTTCCAAGATTGGGCCTCCCCTGGTGGAGCAGCGGTTGAGCGCTGGGCTGCGAAGCTGCCCGTAGCCTCTGCAGCGCTGGTTCGATGCCCAGCAGCCAGCGAGGGTCCCACATGGCATGCAGACCTCTCCTGCTGTGCCCACTGCTCTCCTCAGCAGTGTGCTTCGTCAGTCTGCCTGTTCTGCTCCCCACTTTGGTGAATTCTCTCACCCTCCCGCGCTTCTGATTGTACCCAGTGCTTGTAAAAATAAATAAATCTTTAAAAAAAAAAGAATTTTCCAAGATTATTGTCTAAAATGTAAATAACCCTGAGATGTAGAGTTGTTATGAGCCATTCTTAGTGCGGTAAGAAAAAAATAAGAAATCTTATCCAAATGCAAAGGATACGCCATTCCTCTGATTCGTTTGATTTTTCCTGGATCTGTGAGTTGAACAGGTTTCAGGAACTTTCTTATGGGACATGAGAAGAACACCTCACCTCCTCCCCCAGGAGGCATTCCCCGTCGCACAATCTGCATATATGGGGAGAAAGAAGAAATGAGGATACAGCAAAAAGTGCATTATCCTGACACCCAATCTAGAAGGTTTATACTAAAGGACTCTTCTTTACAAGACAGGTAGCTCTTTCACATTCAACTTGTCAATCCCTTCGAGATCAACAGCACCTTATGTTAGTTTCAACAGGGCAGTGTTGAGCAAAGACACCATATGGTGTGTCAGAAAAAGGAGCAGATCATGTCAGCATATCCGAGTCAAATTTCAGGCAGGACACTTCACCTCCAGGGCCTGTTTTTTCATCCTTAAAATGAGGGACTGGCCTACTTCATCAACTGATTCCATTTTTTAACTATCAGGAACTTCCCTTTCTCTTCCTATGCAAATAACTGATATATCAAAACTCTATTTATTTAAAAAATAACAATGTAATAAGAAGGAGAGATGCCAGACATCTTAAGATATCCAGTGTTATCACATTGGATTGACATGATTTCTTTCAACAGCTTGAGTCCCACTCTGCCTACTGCTAACAGATGCTTAAGTTACTTCTACTAGGTCTTAAAAATACTGAAAATTCTCAGAGGCATCCAAAATGCAAGACCATGGACATAAGTTATATCCAAATGATCTAGATCAGAGAGGCTGTATGCCAGAATCCTGGCTCCACTATTTACTAACTGAGTGACAGGAATGGAGTTGTTAAAGGAGCAAAGGAAGTTAATATATGTGGAATGCTTACAACAGTGCCCATCACAAAGTTAACTGTTGGCTACTACTATCATTATGAAAGGGTCCCTTTTTCAGCTCAAAACCTGTAACATGTGGTTCACGAATTCTGTGGCTCTTCCCATAAATGTCAACTTCAAATGTGACACACACTAGGAGTCATAAGAAAATGCTTTACACAGATATACACAGCCAAGAATTCACACCTACTTACCTTTAGCTCAAATGATTCACCATCAATCCCAAACTGTTTCAAGAGAGGAAGGGCTGTTGCCTTGAGAACGTCAACCTGTAGAATTATTTCAGGAAAAAAAAAGATTAGTTAAAATCCTGAGCAGATGTGGGCCTCCCTGGTGGCGCAGGCAGTTGAGTGCCGTGCTGTGAGGCTGTCCGTAGCCTCTGCAGTGCTGGTTCAATCCCCTCCAGCCTCAGAGCAACCCACATGGCAAGCAGACCTCTCCTGTCTTACCTGCTGCTCCCCTCAGCAGTGTATTTCATCAGTCTGCCTGTTCTGTTCCCTGCTCTGTCTCTGGTGAATCCTCTCACCTCACCCTCCCATACATCTGGCCTGTACCCCGGTTCTTGTATAAATAAAATAAATATTTAAAAAAAAAAATCCAGAGCAGATGTGAAAAAGAAAAAGCCCATGAAGCAGGCTGAGGCTTAGCAACAGATAGATGATGCAGCCTGGTAAAGAGGAAGGACACTGGCTTTAAAGTGAGGTGGGCCAACTCTGCTCCCAAGACTGTGATTTTATAAGCCACATGGCCTCTCTGAGCCCTGCTTTTCTCATTTATGATATGGAGACCTACTCCTACCTTAGAAGTCATTTTGAGCATAACAGACATCCTGCAAAAGGAATCTAGAAACTCCTGGACTAATACAGAAAACAAAATGGGACCTCTGTTCATTCTTACGGATATAAACTCTATGGAAAAAATATCAGCATTTTTTTATTCATCTTTTTCCAGCAAGGTTGCTTAATGTTTAGAGATGATGACACTCTAAGCCAAAGCAAACCAAATGAACTATTCAAAGACTACCTAAGAGTTCTGCTGATACCCAGCACATAGGCAGCTAAAGGTAGGTAGTGGTTCTACAAGGGAGTATGGGCCCATGGGAGAATGATAGGTTCAATAAAGCAGCACAAACCCCAAAATGTAACTGATTGCACCCACAAGACTGTGCCAAGAATGCTATTTTAATGTCCTCTCCATTCAGAGGTCCTAGGAGACCTGGGCTTACTTCTTAGTTACCTGTGGTTTCCTCATAGAATGTAATAATGATAATAAAATCACATTTATCTAACAAGTCAGTGAATGTAGCCTCAAAGGAAACAAGGAAAAGAAAATTACTCCCTTACTTATTCCCAATGGAACAAGCCCACACAGAGACTGACCCTATCAGGAGGCAGTGAGAGTAGTTCAAGCAGATGATGCAGGGAAAAGCCCTGGTCCTGATTCAGGCTCTGCCTCTGGCTGGCCTCAGACCAGCTCCTTTGGCTGGTCTCAAAGGAGCTCAGTCTGCATGTCTTGAAGTTGCTACCAACTCCCACATGGTGAGACTCAAAAGAATGATACTGTGGGCCTCCCCTGGTGGTGCAGCGGTTGAGCACTGGGCTGCGAAGCTGCCCACAGCCTCTGCAGCGCCGGTTCGATCCCCGGCCACCTGTGATGGTCCCACATGGCGCGACAGACCTCTCCCGCCGCACCCGCTGCTCCCCTCAGCAGTGTATTTCGTCAATCTGCCTGTTCTGTTCCCTGCTCTGGCTCTGGTGAATTCTCTCACCCTCCCACGCTTCTGACTATACCCAGTGCTTGTATAAATAAATAAATCTTTAAAAAAAAAAAATCATACTGCAATAAGGCATTATAGCAGAGAACAGGCCCCAACTAAATATCCTGACAACAGAAAATTAATCAGAGGTGAAAAAAAAAAGACCTACGGGATCTAGGATCATATTCAGAATAGACAAAGTGAGATAGCAATAGTTATGGGGAAAATCCATTAAAGATTAGCTGATTTCAATTAAATATTAAAGCTAAACATACACCACAACTTAAAACATGGAATTGGGATTGCCAGAACCAAAAATAATTCAGCTAGGCTAGAAATTAAGGGTGGTTAAGGAGAAGGCCAAGACAGATTCCTGGAAAAAGTCGGGGAGGGAGAGGCTAGGATGTGGGTTACTCTGCCTGTAAAACTCCCTAGAACTTGGTAGCCACCAGCTCTTCTGGGGAAAGAAAAGCAAGAAAACAACACCCCTCTAGCTCATCCTACCTATACCTGGAGGCATAAAGGATCAAATAAAACTTACTTTGAGGGTATGGTTCTGCCTTGTAAAGCACTCCCCATCTGACACAGAGGGCAGGCAACTTGGCGTGGTGGGACAAGGGCTGGAAAGCAGGTATGGGCTTGAGTCCCACTCTGCCTCTTGCTGGCAGGGACCTGAACAGTTCCTATTATGTAAAATGAGGGGCTTGGCTGGACATGTCTCCTCCTGCTCCAGACTACACCAAGTTATCTGTTATCTCCTCTCCATTCAGAGCTCCAAGAAGACTGAGGTCCTTCCGTATTCGTTTGTGAATTCCTTAACGAATGTAAGGATGACATTCAAACTACATTTATCTAACAAGTCAGTGTGCTCTGAACACTAGTTTTACCAAATAGGAATGAGCTGCAAGTTTTCCATAAGAAAAACAGAATCTTCACTCTGCAGTTAGAAACAGCCAAAGTCTGATCCAAGCACCACCCCCCTGCCCCAGGCAAATGAGCACCCTGACACTTCAGTGAAATCAATCAATAGGAACAAATGTGATCAGATTCATGCCAAATAGAAAAGGGCAAGAAGCTGCTGAGTTATCTTGTCTGAAACTGTGATAAGAACACCCACCTCACTGGGTTGGCACAAGAATTATATAAATATGGGGCCTCCCTGGGGGCACAAGGGGTTAAGGTGCAGCACTATGAAGCTATCCGCAGCCACTGCAGCAGGTGTATGATCCCCAGCCAGGGAGGTAACCCATATGGCACAGCAGACCTCTCCTGCCTTGCCCACTGCTCCCCTCAGCAGTGTATTTCAGTCAATTTGCCTGTTCTGTTCCCCACTCTGTCTCTGGTGAATCCTCTCACCACCCTCGTGCCTCTGGCCTGCATCCCAGTTCTTGTATGCATAAATAAATAAATCTTTTTTAAAAATTAAATAAATATGGATATATGTATGTACACTTAGTGCCCAGCTCACAATAGGCTTTATGGTACTTTATTTCCTACTCTTTACTCAACTTGTGCCTATCTTATATATGTGCCTCTAAGGATATTACTCTCCTAATGGTCAATGAAGTTTCTCACTGCAGTTTCTCCCAACTCAACTCCTGGAAGACCAACTCTGTGATTCATCCCCAACTTCTTAGATTTGTCCTACTTGGCTCCTCCAAATATTTAATATTTATACCTCCACAGTCACTGTCTATAGCTCCTGTTCTTCCATTCACACCTTAAACACTGATTTTCTCCTTTTCTTCTTCTATTCTCAGTCCCTGGGACCAAAAGCAAAACCTATAAAGCCCACAGAGTCAAGAAAGGGAATTTTAATGGGAATGATGAGGTCAACTAAGACCTGTATCCAACTGGTAAGTTCATGCCTTATTCAAAGAGAACAGCTGCTATTCAGCTCCAACCAATGTCTGCTGTGGATGTTCAGTCATATAGAGTTGCCACATCAATCAACAATAATATAAAATCCGGGGCTTCAAACATGAACAAATAGTTCAGTAATACATATGACCACCACACTCTATATAAGCCAGAGGAAAAAGACCTGTAGGATTTTCAGTCAAAAAACCACTAGTGCTCAACTTCAGAGTCTTACAGAACTAAGTATCCTGATGTTACCTCTGGGGCTACAGACAATAAATTCCAATGGCCAACTGATCATCCCCATGTACATACCCTGCCAATATCCCAGGGAACAGAGGAACAAAATAAACATATCACCATTTACACTGCTGCAATTTTTCCCTTCCCCCTGTCAAATTCTTTCTGATCACTAGTCTTCAAGTCAACCAGGACAGAAATCATAGAGATTATGATAGCTCCCTATCCCAGCACTGATCAGTTGTCAAATTATGAAGTTTCTCCCTCCACATTATCCCTAATACCTGTCCATTCCATTCCTTCCATCTCTATCATGTTTAAAATTAGATGACACCTCTCCAACTCATCCCTATCCAGGCCTCCACAGCTATCTTCCTAAAATCCAGAATGTCTATGGTTTCCCATCCTCTAGAAAACTCAATCTGAGCACTGTGTTTGTACCCCTGTCAGAAGTCAGAGGCATTCAGCCTGTAGTCTCCCCAGCTATTTACCCCATGAGACCAAGTTCTCTAAGAGCAGTACTCATTATATTTATTCTTGTGGGCAGGGAAGATGAAGACATGAATTGATGGGAAAACCACACATTTAAGAGAAAGCTCAAAATGAATAAGTCACAAGCAGTAAAAGTTATTCTTTATCCAGTATTAGGTTTTATCCTAGGCTAGAGTCAGGTACTTTTAAGCAGTCATTTTAATCATAGAGCAAGCAAAAGCAGGTAGTCTTGCAGTATATGAAAACAAATTTATTTTCAATATTCTGCATAAAGGATTAGCACTATTTCTGGGAAACTGTCATTGTTAACACATAAAACTTTTATTTTTTTTTTTTTAATAGAGGCATGTTTTTCTTTATTTATTTGTTTGCTTGTTTGTTTGTTTTTTGTTTTATACATGCACTGGGTACAGTCAGAAGCGCGGGAGGGTGAGAGAATTCACCAGAGCCAGAGCGGGGAGCAGAGCAGGCAGAAGGACCGAAGTACACTGCTGAGGGGAGCAGCGGGTGGCAGGAGAGGTCTGCGCACCATGTGGGACCCTCCACTGGTGGCCGGGGAGCAGCCGGGAATCGAACCGGCGCTGCAGAGGCCGCGGGCAGCTTCGCAACCCAGCGCTCAACCGCTGCGCCACCGGGGAGGCCCCACATAAAACTTTTAAAACACTGATTGTAGTTTTTAAGATCATTAGCTATTGGGCCTCCCTGGTGGCACAAGGGGTTGGGATGCAACCTATGAAGCTATCCGCAGCCTCTGCAGCACGAGTTTGATCCCAGGCTGGCCAGGGAGAAACCCACATGGTGCAGCAGACCTCTCCTGCTTCGCCCGCTGCTCTTCTCAGCAGTGTATTTCAGTCAGTCTGCCTGTTCTGTTCCCCACTCTGTCTCTGGTGAATCCTCTCACCCCCCACACCTCTGGCCTATACCCCAGTTCTTGTATGCAGAAATAAATAAATCTTTAAAAAAAAAATCACTAGCCATTATAGAAAAAGTACAAAACTGGACACACATAGTGCCAGTCTCTTATATGCTTCCGGGCCTTTCCCCCTTATTCAAGGTACCTTCCCCCACTTTCAAACTAAAAGCGTAGGGGCACCCCTTTCATACTTTAAGTGAATGGTGCATTTCCTAGAATCTTCCAAAAAATACAATATCAAAGGCAACCATTTCAAACTAGTTTAAATTTCTTAACAGCTTTATGCAACATTTCTTTATATTTAAGAAATTTCAGATCTTGTATGGTACTCAGGATCCTAAGAGTACATGTACCTGAATTCCCAAGAATTGAGGATTATGTCTTCTAATGCTTAAGAACACATTAATTGTGTTTAACAGGTGTCTTGTGAATATCAGCAGTCTCCAGTTTGGGGCTCACTATACCACCTAACTGTTCTTCTCTGGTTAGGAAAGCTACACACTTCACATTCTGCCTTAGAACCTGCCCATTCACTGATCCTGGTCCACAGTCTATAGAGGTAAAGATAAGTATCACCAGTGAGGACTTCACACCATGGAACTCAGCTTTAAGATACCTTCTCTGAAGGGCAGAGTATCCAAAGGTGGGGAATCCTTCCCTCCCTATGAGAGGTCTAAGGCAGATCTGGACAGGACTTCACTAACCCCACCCTCTCACCCCTCCCCTGCCGCCCCCCACACACACCAAAACCCATCCAAGACTGGCTCTAAGGCAGCCACAGTGACCCATGAAAACTCTACCTGAACATTAAATTCCCTATAAATGCAGGCAAACTAGCATGTTAATAAGAAGCTTGTTGGAGCCTACAAAGTATCAGTGCTCACATATATCTTTCCTGCCTTTTTGGCCTTTTTTAAAATTTGCAAACTTCTCAGAAAAAGTCCTCAAATTTATGGCTGAAACCTGAATAAGTCAGATTATGCTTCACCAATACCAGGAAGATATTATTTTCTGCCTAAAATGTTGGTCTGCAGCCTCAGCTATCACATGACCTTAGATAAACTCTACTCTCACACACCTAGACAACACAGCCATATTTCGTGTCAAGCTTAATGAGACTGCAAGCATGTGTTCTGAAGGTTCTTAGACACAACAATGGAAAGCACCTCGATGGATGTTAACAACTGTGACTAAATTTGATAATTATGAGTCTTGGTTCATCTGACTCCTTGAGTGGTAAACCTCTAAATCTCAAGGTAAATCACACAAGAAACAATAAACCTGTGCCTGATCAGGTGGTCGTTTGCAATAGCTGGGTTGTGACAAAAGACAAAAAAATAGTACATCGGCGCCTCCCCTGGTGGCGGAGGCGGTTAAGCGCAGCACTGTGAATCTGTCAGCAGCCTCTGCAGCACTGGTTTGATCCCGGCTGGCCAGCGAGGGTCCCACATGGCGCAGCAGACCTCTCCTGTCTCGCCCACTGCTCCCTCACCAGTATGTTTCATGCCTGTTTTGTTCCCCGTTCTGTCTCTGGTGCATCCCCTTACCCTCCCGTGCATCTGGCCTGTACCCTGGTTCTTGTATAAATAAATAAATAACTATTTTAAAAAATAAAATAAAATAAATAGTACATCGTTTGGCCTTATTACTCACCGAAGGGTCAACCTGGTCATTGGTCACTCCTCGTAGAACTATTCTTAGTGGGTGCTTCATAAATGGAGCCAGGCACAGAAGACTTTCCAGGTAATAGCCAATACCACGAAGAATACTACAGTCATGTTCCACGGATCCACCATAAAGGAGACCAGGCTGATAATATAAAGTCGTTCCTTATACCGCAGGAAAGAAGGGCACATCAGCAGAAAAAAATAACTAAGTGTCATAAAGGCAACAAAGGCAGTGAGTCCCAAAGGGAAATTCTGACAAGGACATCCAAGAGAATTCAAAATGTCATTCCTAAGAGCCTATACTTTACTCCAAATACTGACTCATTACTGTCAAGCCCCTGTGGCAGTAATAAACTGTGAGTGCAATTTAATAAACAGTAATAAATTAAACCACTTCCGAAGCCATCTGAAATGCCAAAGTTGTGGCAGGGCACAGAGGAGAGAGTCTAACAAAACCCTGGTCTCCAAACAGCACACTCTCAGGCTAGACTGATGAGGGATTTAGAAATGAGGTTCTGAAATCATTACACCAGCAACTAGCTTCTTCTAGGCCCTTGAAATGGGATTTCCCACGTATTGCACTCACCAAACACAGATGGCAAGCACTTTGAGGCAACTAATTCCACTAACATAAGCTATTTTAATCATAAAAAATGGACATACATAAAATTATTTAACAGTCTTAGTGGAAACTTATATATTGTTCACCCTTTCACATATTCATGTAATCCAAAGAGTTTCTTGCTGGATTTACATTTTGAAGGGGAAAAAAAATATTCTAATGATTTAGGGGGTACAAATGGTTGAAAAGGAATTTTTGCTGCTCAAAAAATAAAAAAGGCAGGTTTAACTATATTAAAAACCAAAATGTTAAGAATCATATCAGAAAGTGGAAAAAATTCCACATCAGTTATTCTAAATACTATTAGAACCATAAAACCAATCCTTAGGACAAAAGGTTAAAAAAAAAAAAGACTATATAACCTCTAAACTGCAAATTTGTTGATGCCTACAAATTAATCAAATGAGAAATGGACCAGCTCATCAGGATGGTAGATTTCTACTTAGGGTGTGTCTGGGTATGCATGCGTGTGCCTGTGCATACACATGCATTAGTTTTGGGGGGGACATGAGATAGTTCCCAACCTAAGCTAACGATGTGGCTAAGAAAGAACAGAATTATCAGCCCTCTAGTCACCAATAAAAATTGCTGGTAAAGTCTTACCAATTTCAAAAGAAACATGCCAAGGTATACTAAGGGAATCTTGGCATGCAAAGGCCATCTGAATGTCTCATGCTTGAAATCTATTGTCTGTAAGGTTGAGTTGATGCTGCTACAGATCACTAAGTGGTGTAGGGTCAGTTACGAAACCAAGTTCATCTTCTTTCTTAAGAGAGCCCAGAGTTTCCTTTGTTCAATATATGTACAAAGGTACATAATTCGTGCAGTCAGCCATGGATGTTTGCCATGGTGTCTTACATCATAAGTCAATTAACATTATGGGTAGATTCACTACTTCATTCAACTTCAGTCAGGATATACATTTTTTTTTTCTTTTTGGTCATCAACATTATAATGAAATGAGACTGAACAGATTTATTTCAGGACCTACTGTACAGGATAGATACAACAGTGTCTAACAGAACAAAAACAAAAAGCTAGAAATAAGCTACATGTTGGGCCTCCTTGGTGGCTCAAGGGGTTAAGACGCAACCTATGAAGCTATCCACAGCCACTGCAGCATGAGTTTGATCCCCGGCCAGGGAGCTATCCAAATGGAGCAGCAGATCTCTCCTGACTCGCCCACTGCTCCCCTCAGCAGTGTATTTCAGTTGATCCACCTGTTCTGTTCCCCACTCTGTCTCTGGTGAATCCTCTCACCCCCTGCACCTCTGGTCTGTACCCCAGTTCTTCTATGCATAAATAAATAAAACTTAAAAAAAAAAGAAGAAATAACTTACATGTTTCTTGGTAAGGAAGCAGTTAAATAAATTATCATGTATTCAAATAGAACACTATATAAGGTTCACTGAAATAGTGACATTGATCTGCATGTGACAGCAGAGAAATCTCTCTGAGATATTTGTGCTAGTGAAAAATAAGTTGGCTGCAGAACAGTATTAAGAGCATGATCCTGGTGATGGTTTGGAATATAGAAATGCTCATGTAAGCAAATGCATACAAATGGCACACACCCCAGGCTGTGACCCTGGCTGCCCCTGGGGAAGGGATTGGAGGAAGAAACAGGTGAAGGTACAGTCATATTTTTTTGTATATATTTTTGTAAACTTAATTTAAAAGACAATAAAATTCAGTATACAAAACTATCTCACAGGGGCCTCCCCGGTGGCGCAGCGGTTGAGCACTGGGTTGCGAAGCTGCCCGCGGCCTCGGCGGCGCCGGTTCGATCCCCGGCTGCTCCCCGGCCACCAGCGAGGGTCCCACATGGCGCGCAGACCTCTCCTGCCGCCCGCTGCTCCCCTCAGCAGTGTACTTCGGTCCTTCTGCCTGCTCTGCTTCCCGCTCTGGCTCTGGTGAATTCTCTCACCCTCCCGCACTTCTGACTGTACCCAGTGCATGTATAAACAAAAAAAACAAACAAACAAACAAATAAATAAATAAATAAACATGCCTCTATAAAAAAAAAAAAACTATCTCACAGAATTTCTCATAAGATTTGAATGTAGGGCCTCCCCAGTGGCGCAGCAGTTGAGCGCTGGGTTGCGAAGCTGCCTGCAGCCTCTGCAGCGCTGGTTCGTTCCCCGGCTGCTCCCCAGCCACCAGAGGAGGGTCCCACATGGCACGCAGACCTCTCCTGCCGCCCGCTGCTCCCCTCAGCAGTGTACTTCGGTCCTTCTGCCTGCTCTGCTTCCTGCTCTGGCTCTGGTGAATTCTCTCACCCTCCCTCTGACTGTGCCCAGTGCTTGTATAAATAAATAAATAAATATTTTTTTAAAAAAAAGATTTGAATGTAATGGGGCCTCCCTGGTGGCACAAGGGGTAAGTACGGCACTATGAAGCAATCCACAGCCTCCGCAGCCTGAGTTCAATCCCTGGCCGGCCAGGTAGCAACCCACTTGGCGCAGCAGACCTCTCCTGCCTTGCCAGCTGCTCCCCTCAGGGGTGTATTTCAGTCAGTTTGCCCATTCTGTTCCCCACTCTGTCTCTGGTGAATCCTCTCATGGCCCCCGCCGGCATCTCTGGCCTGTACCCCAGCTCTTGTATGCATAAATAAATAAATCTTCAACAACAAAAAAAGATTTGAATGTAACAATATAAGTAAATGAACTTTGAAAAGATTCACATAAATATTAGGTATAAAATACTTTTATTATCTAAAAAGATTTGAAATTTTCACTCTTCTACCTTCCTTAAATCAAGTGTATACCACCTTAATTGACAGATTTCATATACATCTCCAGGCAATTGTATCAGAGACAGGAAACTGGATATTTCCATCTGAATACAGTATTTATCCCACAGAGAGGAGAAGCTGAGAAATATTGAAGTTGTACATGTAAGTGCTTTTAGGAATGGGAAGAAAAGGAGAGATTACCTGTTTGGTTTATTTCAATTCGAGAACCATTAGTTATTTTGTCCAATAGCCTTATGAAGCTGGCTTCAAAATCTGTGGGGAAAAGAGAAAACAGATTGGCCTCATGTTAAGTGACCATTTCCAGAGAGTACCTATCCAGGTATTGCAGTGGAAGGCAGATTACTTACATCACACTTAAGCTCTTCTTCAGAATCTGGGTAGGATCACTAGTTGAGGAACCTGAAGCAGCTAACTAGTGCTGACTAGCATGTACACATTTGGTAGAACTATTAGAAATAATGCAGTTTTCAGAATCTACAAATATTAGCAACTTTGTGAGCAACATGTTTTTTTAACTTCTACCTGCTCTGCATCAGCAACACATGCCAACTAAGGGAGAAAAAGAAAAATAAGGAAGAGGTTTAAAGTCAAAATCTTACTTCTTCCAGAATATCTTAAGAGGGCAGATTAAATTGAGGGCCAAAGACAGTCTCAGAGTCAGTAAGAACAACTCCTTATCTCTTCAACAAATTTTCCCTTCTCTTTTCTTCTATTGATACCATCTTACTAACCTAGATCTATCTAGCCAATTCCATTTGTTTCTACCATTATAAAGATATGTGAACATACAGTATTGTCACTCCTTTTAAAAATGCATTAAAAAAAGACTGGTGAGGGCCTCCTGAGTGGCGCAGCGGTTGAGCGCTGGGTTGAGAAGCTGCCCGCATCCTCTACAGCGCTGGTTCAATCCCCGGCTGCTGGGCGAGGGTCCCACATGGCACACAGACCTCTCCTGCCGCCCGCTGCTCCCCTCAGCAGTGTGTTTCGTCAGTCTGCTTGCTCTGCTCTCCCCTGTGGCTCTGGTGAATTCTCTCACCCTCCCGTGTTTCTGACTGTACCCAGTGCTTGTATAAATAAATCTTATTAAAAAAAAAAAAAAAAAAAGACTGGCGAGGGCCTCCCTGGTGGCACAAGAGGTTAAGATGCAACCTGTGGGGCTGTCCACAGCCTCTGCAGCATGAGTTCAATCCCTGGCTGGCCGGGGAGGAACCCACTGGCGCAGCAGACCTCTCCTGGCTTGCCCGCTGCTCTGTTCTGTTCCCCACTCTGTCTGTTCTGTTCTGTTCTGTTCCCCACTCTGTCTCTGGTGAATCCTCTCACCCCCTGCACCTCTGGCCTGTACCCCAGCTCTTGTGTGCATAGATAATTAAATCTTTAAAAAAAAAAAAAAGATTGAAGGAAAGAAATACCAAATGAGGTTCTTTTCATGGCAAGATTTAATATTCTTGTTTATATATTAATGTTCAATTTTGCTATAATTCTTCTTATGAACATACTGTTACCTAAAATATAAAAGCTGGCTCTTCTTTGAAATGGGGGTAAGGTGCAAAGGAAGGAACAGATTTCAAATGTGGAATATAAGAGGAGACAGAATGAAGACTCTGACAGAATATGTTCTCTAGCTTTCCCCTGAATTATCTTATACACATGTTCACGCACGAACCCTAGCTCAACTTCCTGTCCATGAACAAGGACAGGTAAGGCAAATCTTCAATGGTTTTGATGACATTACAACTGTCTGCTGCTTTTAGGTAGTTTCCCCTCCTGCAATAAATGAGTAGAATTCTCAAACACAGACTCCAACAGTCACCTGAACTGATCCCAAAGGATGAGCAGATCAACTAAACAATTCTCATCCACCTGTTCTGATTACTTAATGCTCTCCATACCTCCTGTCACAACAGGCTCTGCAATCTGTACAAAGAGCACTGAGCTATAAGTCAGAGATACTCCACTAAACACTAAAATAAGTAACAGTGGCTAATAACAGCTGGTATGTATAAAACTTAGAGCCATACATTCTCACATTTAATCCTCAAAAACACAAGGCAGCTAATGCCATTCCCATTTTATAGTAAGCTGAGAAAAAATGCCAGCCAGTTTGTCCTGTCATAAGACTGGCAAGTGGCAGAGCCAGAATTTGAGCCCAAGTCTGTTTTCCAAAATCCATGCTCTGAACCACACCATATGGTTTGCCAATTCCCAATTAGCTTACCCAATTCAGTTCAATCCTTCAGAATTAACTTCCTCCTCCAGAAAATCGTGAACCCTTTCACCTGTAGGCAGTAACCTATTGAAGGTTCCTATAGGCAATTTAATGGGTCCCCAATCAACATTTATGTTTAACAAAATTAAAATAGAATAAACAAGAGCAGAGTAACAGTACACAGTAAGGGTGCTGCTACTCATGAAACTTTAGTCTCAGTTTTACAAATATTTGTATTTATACAAGCTTGTGAGTAGTATCACAAAAGTTTAAAAGTAACTCAATTACAAAATGGAAGCAAATTATTTCAATGGTCATTTTATATATACAATTTTACACTTCTAAAATCAGACATGATCTCTAACACCATACTATTTTCTATTTATGTATATAGCAAATGCAAGGTACTCTGCATGAAAAAGGAAAGCTCTTGATTTGCTCAAGATTTTGAGGTATCTAAATGGAAGGAAATAATAAGCATTTTTTTTTTTAAAAGATTTATTTATTTATGCATACAAGAACTGGGGTACAGGCCAGAAATGCAGGGGGTGAGAGGATTCACCAGAGACAGAGAGGGGAACAGAACAGGCAGATTGACTGAAATACACTGCTGAGGGGAGCAGCGGGTGAGTCAGGAGAGGTCTGCTGTGCCATGTGGGTTGCTCCCTGGCCAGCCAGGGATTGAACTCATGCTGCAGAGGCTGCAGATTGCTTCATAGTGCGGAGCTTAACCCCTTGCGCCACCAGGGAGGCCCCATAATAAGCATTTATGATTAAAGCCCAAGATTAAATTCCACAGCTTTGGCAGATCAGAAAATAATTGTTTTAGAAATAAAATTTACTTTTTGTAATTCATAGAGCTGTTAAGCATGTGCACAGTTAAAAATGCCCAGGGGGAAAAACAAGAATAGGAAGAGAGTGGCATCTAAAGTGACCTCCAGACAGGACCATGCTCTGGTCATGGCATATAAATGCTTCCGAGTTAGCATTCAAAGAACCAGATACAAACCTAGTTCCAAATCCTGGCAATAGTGAAGATATAGCTCCATCACCTGGTACAAAGATCTCAAGTTCACCTTATAATGGTACAACCTAAGACCCCAAACTTCTTTAAGACAAGATGTGCAGGATTCCTTATCTCTTCACTTCCAACACACCCTTTTTTTAATGACTTTTTTTTATTTTTATATAATTTTATTTTTATATTCCTCGTACAATTGCAACCCCCTGATTTTGACCCCAATCCCTCCTTTCCCCGCCCCCCCCACCCCAAAGTGTGTCTCTGGTTCATAGTTGTTTCCAATACACCCTTTGTGACTCTTCCTCACCAAGACTGCTCCAGGGAGTATAAAGTTTCTGGTACCTAAAAACATTAGGGGAACCGTTCTAAAAAGAAGCACAACTTTAGCGCGTTGAGATAACACAATTAGGTTCTAAAACTATGAGTATCTAAATGAATACCATAATGATTGGGACAATGGCTACCAGTAAGGGCATGGAAGGGAGATATGAGCACACAGGGGTGCAGGAAATATCCTATTTCTCAACCTGGATGGGAGTCACACTGTTGTACATTTTATAATCCTTTAAAGCACTATTTTTGTGCTATACATTTTGTTAAGCTATTCTATTTCACACTTCAGAAAAAAATCTTTAATTTCAGGATTCCTTAAATACTTCATGTGCCTAATGTCTTCTCTCTAGCACCCAAAGTATGTGAGCTCATCATGTCTTTAAAGAGGTCTTATATGTGTCCCTATAAGACAGTGGCAATCATCTGTCTGATCAACTCCTGAGAAAGGCAAAAAACCAGGTCTCAACAAGGGGTGAAAGGAAAGCAACAAATGATTCACACTTTAACAAGGATCAAATAAGTACAATTTCAACACGAAAGTATTATAACAAAACAAATATCTGAAAATACTGTTCTGGTTTAAAAAAAATTGTGGCATACCTATTTATCATCACTCAATAGCCTAAAATTAATGAGATTTTTACATACTAATATGAATTTTCTCTATGGTACACTGCCAAAAAGTAAGATGCAGATGGACATTTGTGTTCAAATATTCACAATTCATTTATTTACAGAAAAAACCCAGCAAACTAGTAATACCAGTTGCTTCACAGGAAAGAAGATTGGGAAAGAGACAGAGACAGACTTTATAAACCCCTATTAACTTTGAATTTCCTGCTATCTGTAAGTTTTCAAAAATACCTACAACTTAAATTGTAAAAACCACAATTTACATAGCCAACAAAACTGCTCTCTTTAAATAACCTATGAAAGATCTTTATAATGCTATGTAGCCTTTTAAAATATATTCTCACTATTTCATTACATGAGGAAATATACTACATAAAGAAAAAAATTAAAAATATTCATACAATGTGATTTCAATTTATTTAGAGAATTAATTACAAGATGAAACAATGAACTGTTAACACACGAAGTTAGCAGTTATTATTCTCCTCACTAAATTCAAAAAACAGAAATTACAAACATGTACCCAATTCTCAAAATAAGTTAAAAGGCAATTCACAGATTTTAAAGAAAATTTTTAAGTAGCAAAACAGACCAAAAAACCAACACATGGCAATTCAAGATCTCAAAGGAATATGGCATCAAAGGAGAACAAATCTCTAATCCTGTCAGATTAGAGTTCAAAATCACAAAATTAGGAAAATCAAATAGATAGCAAAAAATGTAGAAAGACAAGTCAAAGTAATATGAGAACTCAGGAAAGCTATGAAAGAGATACAGGAAATTTCAGAAAAACTCATGAATGAGCTCAGAAATAAAACTGATGAATGGAAGACAGAAATTGAAGCTTAAATAAGAAAACACCAGAGATTCTGGTTGTAAAGGTCTCAGTAAATAAGATCAAGAGCTCAAGTAAAAACTGTGAAAGCTGCATAGACCAAACCTAAGATCAAATTAGTGACCTTAAAGACAGCAATGCACAAAGGACTCAGATGGAAGAAGAGAAAGAAGATATGGGCCTCCCTATTGGTGCAAGGGGTTGAGCACAGCACTGTGAAGCAA